GCAGAGGAGACAACTCTCGTTCAGTTGTGCCAGCAATGAGTGTCATTTCCAAGGCTTACACAAATGGAGAACTTAAATTGCATGAAGATATAAGAATCCCTTCTCTGAAAACAATGGCTGTGGACTCCTTCATCTCCCAGAGTGTCCAGAGAAGTCAGTAATAATGCTAACAAACTGATAATTCTACATTTTTTGTAAGGCTTGCAAAATAATTTTCATGTATTACCTCAACTGAGCCTCACAACAACCTGAATGAGCTAAGTCCTATTAGTATTATCATTCCCATTTCATGGAGGCATAGACCAAGGCTCAAAAATTAAGTGACTTGCCCATAGCCAAAGAATAAGTAAGTATTCGAGGTAGGATTCAAACCCAGTTCTTTCCTGACTGGAAATTCAATGAGGCTTCCATTATACCATGCTGCCTCATAATCCTTATGCCCTCTCAATTACTAAATAAAAAAAGGAGTTTCTTTTTCCTGTAAGTGAAAAAAAAAAATCAGAGAAGGTTCTGTGTCTGAGATCTTTAGATAAGGGTCTGTCTAAAGCAAGGGTCCTTAACCTTTTTTGTGTCATGGATTCTTTTGGCAATCTGGTAAAACCTATGGACCCCTTCTCAGAAGGTTTTAAAATGCTTTTTAAATAATTAAAAGAATTGCTAATTTCAGTTAGAGTTTAGTGAAAATAAAGATGTATTTTCCCCCCATCCAAGCTTTCAGAGACTCTGAAATCTATCTGAAGAGCTCTCTGATCTAAAGCAGAGGTAAGAGAAGGGAACAATTATTTATTAAGTGGCTGTTTTGTACTAAGTACTTTATAGATATTATCTCATTTATCTTTAAAGCCAAAGGATTAACTAAATGATTTGCCTAGCACTAGAATTCTCTTATCATTTGCCTTTAAATGATTATTTCCTCTACAATGTTAATTATAATAGAGAGGCAGCATGGCATAACAGAGACAGGACTGGCTATGGATCCAGGAAGATCCAGAATCAAGTCCCATCTCTAACACAAACTGGCTTTGTGACCTTGGGCAACTCACTTAACCCATCAGTGATTTAGGGCCAAGAAATGTCAAGCTCCTGCTGGGACAAAACTCCCAGAGTGCAGCCAGAATTAGATTAAAATGTAATTGGAAAATGTTTAACAAAACAAATAAAAATACAGTATAACTTAAAATAATGTTAATTTGAGATTTTCTAAGTCAATATGTAACCAGCAAAGATCTCTTTCTATTTGATTTTGACTCCACTGACTTAGACAACTCCCTGAGACAATAGACTGCAGAGAAATGTTGACATGCAGATGGAGTTTCCTCACCTGGAAGTTCCTTATACCAATACAATTGCAGGCCCTATCCCTATCCCTTATATTTTTTTGTAATTTATATCCAACAGTAAGATATATTCTGTGTTGGGAGAGGCCACCTTATAGAGTTGGTTCAGTAACAGACTTGCCTAAAGCTGGCAAATACTTTATTTCTGATTAGTTGATAGTGTTTGAGAATCTGTGAGTAACCTGCTAGGACAAAGCCTCCTTCATCCTGAACAATGAGCTTTCACTTATAGGGCTGTAGAAACTCTGTATAACATTTGCTACTTAAATGAAGTTTTTATTACCTTTGAGCTTATAGTCAGTCTCCTGCAAATAGAGTTGTGGAAGAGTCCAGGAAAGTTATTTCAGAATGCCTTAAATCATTTTGTAGGGAGATGGTTTAATGCAATTCAGCAAATACTTGTGTGCCTACTGTGTGCAAGAATATTGTTCTAGAAAAATAATAACAGAATTGATCTGGAAGAACAAAAGGTCCAGAATGTCAAGGGAATTAATGAAAAGAAATGCAAGGGAAGGTGGCCTAGCGATACCAAATCTAAAACTGTATTATAAAGCAATAATCATCAAAACTACCTGGTACTGGCTAAGAAATAGAGTGGTAGGTCAATGGAATAGGTTAGGTACACAAGACACAGTAGTCAATGACTATAATAATCTACTGTTTGGTAAACCCAAAGACTCCAGCTTCTAGGATAAGAACTCACTTTTTGACAAAAACTGCTGGGAAAACTGGAAAAGAATATGGCAGAAACTAGGCATATACCAATGTCTTACACCATATACCAAGATAAGGTCAAAATGGGTACATGATTTAGATACAAAGGCTGACACTATAAGCAAACTGGGACAGCAAGGAATAGTTTACCTGTCAGATTTATGGAGAACAGAAGAACTTATGACCAAACAAGAGATAGAGGACATTATGAAATACAAAATGGATAATTTTGATTACTGTAAATTAAAAAGGATTTGCCCAAAGACAATGCAACCAAGATTAAAAGATGGGAAACAATTTTTACAGTCAGTGTCTCTGATAAAGGCCTCATTTCTAAAATATATAAAGAACTGAATTAAATCCATAAGAATACAAGTCCTTCTCCAGTTGATAAATGGTCAAAGCATATGAGCAGGCAGTTTTCAGATGAAGAAATTAAAGCTACCTATAGTCATATAAAAAATGCTCAAAATTATTATTAGTTAAACACACGCAAATTAAAACAACTCTGAGGTACCACATCATACCTATTAGATTGACTAACATGACAAAACAGGGAAACGATAAATGTTGGAGAAGATGTGAGAAAATTGGAATGCTAACGCATTGTTGGTAGAGTTGTAAACTAACCCAACCATTCTGGAGAGCAATTTGGAACTATGCCCAAATGGCAACCAAACTGTGTGTATACTTTGATTTAGCAGTAGCACTACTAGGTCTGTATCCCAAAGAGATCATAAAAAAGGGAAAAGGACCCACATGTACAAAAATATTTATAGCAGCTCTTTCTGTGGTGGCAAAGAATTGGAAATTGAGAGGATTCCCATCAATTAGGGAATGGCTGAACAAGTTGTGGCATATGAATGTAATGGAATACTATTGTTCCATAAGAAATGGTGAGCAGGTGGATTTCAGAAAAACCAGAAAAGACTTGCATGAATTGATGCTGAGTGAAGAGAGCAGAACTAGGAGAACGTTGTACACAGTACTGGCAACATTGTGTGATTACTAACTTTGATAGACTTAGCCTTTCTGAGCAATGCAGTAATCTAAAGACAATTCCAAAAGACTAATGATGGAAAATGCTATCTGCATCCAGAGAAAGGTCTATGGAGTCTGAGTGCAAATCGAAGTATACTATTTTCTCTTTTTTGTTTTTTGTTTCTCATGGGTTTTCATTTTTTTCTGATTCTTCTTTCACAACATGACTATTGTGAAAATATGTTTAATATGATAATACATGCATAGCCTATATCAGATTGCATGCTGTCTTGGTTAGGGGGAAAGGAGGGGTGGAGAAATTTAGAACTCAAAATCTCATAAAAGTGAACGTTGAAAACTAAAATTTAATCAGTTAAGTTTTTTAAAAAAAAGTATTGTTCTGGGTGCTGAGGAGACAAAAACAAAAATGAAAAAACTGCTAGCCTCTAAGCACCTCCTCTTCTAATGGGGATGAGGGATGGGGAAGAAGATGTCCTCAGATAAGTAGACTGAAGCTAGCGTAAGGTCCTAAGGCACATCTGGAAGACATCCCAAGCTCTCAATCTTTGAGTCCCCAAGAGTGTAGGCCCTCCAGTTCCTGTGATATCTTGAGGCTCAGATTCTCTCTGGATCCTGGGTGGACATGTATTCCCTTCAGTGCAGACCCTCTCCTACCTTCAGTGTTTTCCTAGAGGCTTTTCTTGCACAGTCACTTTGACTTTTAATATGTCTTTTAATGGATACCAGCTGACAAAATACTGAATTTCTGCAAATATTTTAGCAGCTTTTCATTATCTATGCCTGATGCCAAATTACTATATTGTAAGCTCCTTGAGGCCAAAGACAGTGTTGGTTGTTTTGTTTTCCCACGTACATTAATGCATTGAGAACACATGGTTTCATAAGCATGGGAACTCCTATTTGGTAAACTCCCTCCACCAATGCAGCTTTAAACCTATCTGTACCATACATATGGCCTTGGATAATTGCTTGAGTCTGTTTGATTTTATGATCATGTGAAGACATCCAAGCTGAATAACTGTAGGATTGAAACCTAGGTCCAAGGCATAGCCAGCAGTGGTCTTGATGTGGTATCCAAACGTGTTTCCTTTTGGTAGTTTTTATAGTTGATATATTTTGTAGAACTCAAGATGGAACATCAGCTAATGTGTGCCGCACGGAAGAATATTTATAAAGTTAATGAATGGGGATTCTGTTTATACCTCTACTGTGAGGAATAAGATAGGTCAGCATAAAACCTCATTCACTAATTATTGATTTTAGCATTTGAAAGTGTTAGCATTTAAAGTGTTAATTGAGTCTGGGCTCCCAAGGTGAAATGCAAAATGAATAAAATTTACCTCTCTAAGGCTATAAGTTGAAGAGAAGGTACAGATGTGTATTGATGGAGGGCAGTGTTTCCTCATCTGGGAGTTCTACAGCAATTAAATCATATTTCCAAGTCCCTGTTCTTAGACCTATGAAATTCAAATATATTTGTGGACATCACAGTGCATTTATCTATAATTGCTAATGGCTTTAATAAAGCCAGTATGTCATGTTTATCCATTGTAGTAAAATATACACAGTATACTGGTTTGTTAGTTGTTATTTTCTATGAGAGGGTTAGTTATGTTAGTTATGACAGTTATATTTCACATATGCAAAATGGAAGTTGTAAGACTTAGAGTTCTGTTTCTATGGCCCTCTGATTTTGCATACATCATTCTTTCTCTGATATAATTGGTGAGGGAAGGAATAAATAAATGTCTTTAATAACAAAATGTACACTGGTTCCTGGGAACAATAGATTCAATTGCCAATTCTATTGTGTGAGATAGGCAAAAGTCAAATAAAGTCCACTTGCAGAAGATCTTGAGTATTATCTGTCAGTGCTTATCAAAATGGCAAATACAATTCAGTAGGCCAACCTATTTCACCAAATCTTTTGTCTTTTTTTTTTTTCAGGATGCCAAGTTTGTAGAGGAGAGACGAAAACAACTACAGAATTACTTAAGAAATGTTATGAACAAAATAATCCAGGCTGTCCCAGAGTTTGCATCCAATCCCAAAAAAGAGACTCTTATTCAATTGATGCCATTTTTCATGTGAGTATATGACAAATGACTCCGTGATCTTTAAAGAACATATTAACCTTTTTTTTCTTCTCCTCATGGAATGGAATACCATTTAATTTCCCCAAATGCAGTGGACACTTAAATGGACTTAAAATTTTTTTAAAACACATGAAACAGAGAATACATTCATTTTTTTATGTGATTATGAGTTTATTTTAATTACATTTATCACTGAGTTTTCAAATAACCAGTGTGCAATTAAAAATTATACTTGATTTACAAAATAAAACAGAACCACTAAGTGCACATTTTTTGGGGGGGCTAGGCAATGAGGTTAAGTGACTTGCCCAAGGTCACACAGCTAGTAAATGTTAAGTGTCTGAGGCCGGATTTGAACTCAGGTCCTCCTGAATCCAGGCCTGGTGCACTATCCACTGTACCACCTCGCTGCCCGCTAAGTGTACATTTTTTGCACATTTCAAAGGTATCATTGAGATTCCACAAAATTAATGAAAAGAATTTCTCTCCATAGATTTGATTGTTATACAAAAATGACTCATGGGATACATTAACATAAAAATATAACAGTACTTCCTTTCAGTACTCAAAACATTAATGGTTTCTTTGGTGCTCCATGGTTTTAGTAGACAGTCTTCATGAGTTGCTCTTGGCCTCATGGCCAACTTTTTAGTGATAAGTCTAGGCACACTTACAGCTGGTGCTCCCATGATAGATATATATGTGTTCTGTTGCCAAGTGGTTACTCAAGCCATTCCAGTGTGGTAAGATATTCAGGATCTCATGCTCCACCAGCTAGCACTGCTTCTCACAGCTATGGCAATGTTATGGTAATAATAGCTAGGTGGCATGGTGAATATAGCACTAGGCCAGGAGTCAGGAAAGCCTAAGTTCAAATCTAACTTCAGACACCTACTACCCTGGTCAAGTCATTTAATTTGTGCTTTGGTTTCCTCATTGGTAACAGGAATAATAACAATACCTACCTCCTAGGGCTGTTGTGAGAATAAAATGAGAGAATATTTTAAAATGCTTTGCAAACTTTAAAGCACTATGTTAATGCTTATAATAATAATTATTATTATTAATTAGACTTTTGCAGCTGGTATGGTGTTTACCAGCCCTTCTCATCTATAAAAGTTTTAGCAGTGTGGGTTTAAGATCCTGAACCATAGTCTTAAATAGCCTAAGATTCATTGTACTACTGAATCTTCCAAATTCTCAAAATCTTTTTGTCTTGCCTCAGTGATCGAGCTAGGTGTTGGATTTAGGATTTCATTTGTATAGGAAACTCTCAGGTGAAGCACCTTTCTACCAATAGTGGTTGGCACCTTTTGTGCAGCTCTTAGTTTTAGAGAATTGCCTCAAGCACTGAAGGTCAGAGGACTTACCCAGAGTCACAGGTTGGTCAGTATGTGTCAGAGCCAGGACTTAAGTCCACACCTTTTGGGCTTTGAGGTTGAATCTTTGTTCACTAGATCATGCTACTTCCAGTCATTCATAATTGTGGTAATTGTCACTAATTATTATGAAGATCTACTGTTAATTAAATGTCAAATTTAACCTGTTGTACAATTTCCAAAATTACACGAAATACTTCATTTTGTTGTCTTTCGTGTGGGAAGTCTTTATTCCATACGAGACAGTAGATAAGTTTGACACGTGGATAAGTTTGTGTTTTTGTCACTCAAAAATTATTTGTGACATAAATGCCTGATTTCTATGTTTTCCTAGGGCTATATATTCCAAACTTAAAGTGTTCCAGTCATTTTAAAGGCACAAAATTAATATGCGAATCATCTTTGAGATAATCTGATTTTTTTCTTGCCCTTTTAGTAAAATTCTACCTCAGTCTAAGAACTGGGCCAGTATAAAGCAGGTCCCCAAGCTGTCTGAGATAAAAAAGCTGGGAAAACTGTAGGTGTTAATGTTTCTGGTTAGAGCAACTCTAGTAATTTCTAGTGCCTGTTTACCAAACATTAGTCAGTTGAATTGTAAAAATTGTATGTTAATGTGAACATCTCTGTATGTTATGTAATTTCAGTTGTACTGGTTACCATTAATCAGAACTGAGGAAAAAACCTTTTTGTGCCTGATTAACATAGAGAACATAAGGTTCAATTTCATGGGCCTTTTAAAAAAGAAATTCTGTGGGAGGCTAGCAAATGACAAAATATTGATCTTGGAATTTTGACTAAATATTGGTCCATATTTCATTTGCTGAAGTAAAGCAGTTTTTTTTCCTTGGCTTTACTTGCTCTCCCAAGTCACAGTGAATTTTTTTGAGGGAGAAGGAATTTACAGATTGAAATACTCATATTGGCATAATGAAGCTAGATTTGCAGCCAGGGCTCTGGCATACCAGTGGCTTTCTGAATGCAGAGGTTTTCTACCTGCAAGGAGCTCAGTGCTCCTATAAGCAGCAGTGGATTTTAATTAGCCAGGCCTGAAAAGTTAAAAACAGGGCATTTCTCCTTGAAGAAATCAGGTAGGGTGGAAATCTTGCCTAAGAAAATCGCCTCCCAAAGACTTTATTATTATTCTAAATCTTGGTAAATTCTCCCTAGTTTTTTTGGTTAATCCAAGGTTACAGTGACCCCTTTTTGTCAATGAGAAGAAAAATCTTTAGTCATTAAGGACCAAGAATACCATGTGAACTAAGCACATTAATTAAAGATTTAGCAGAATGAATTTTGCTTATAAAAATCTTCATTCTGGTCTTATCCATCTTAACAAAAGAAATAGCTCTTAATGAAAAATAAGATGGCAGTGAAGTGTACTAGCCCCAGTTACTTTGAATTCTACTTTCTTTATGAAGGAGCCTGCATGAGAGGTCTTACCCTGAAATACTGAGTAAACAAATAGAAGGCCCTGTAGTGTCCCTTATGCTGAGCATCCTATGCTTTTAATTGTTCTGCTTTTTTTTTAAATAGAGGAACTATGACCTGACTTGCTGTCGTAGAATGAAGAAGCATCAGATGTTTTGAAATTGCCTTAATGAAGAATTTATATTATATGAATTCATTTTGTGGCACTGGACTGCACATAGGAAAGGCTTGAGTGATTTGTTGCTCCATCATTTAGCAGGTTATTAAAATGTTTTTCAGCAAAGTAATTCATCCTTGGGAAATGCATCATGTTATACTGTTCCTTGAGGGAAAAAAAGTAATGGCGGTGGAAGAAAGAATAATGTAGGTCACAGCACAAATTCCTAGCTGAATTTTTCAGCAGAAAACTAAGTTGATTTTTTTTTTTACTTCTGCTGCCACATTCACTCTTTAGGTTGTTAAATATATTTTACCAAGATGTTACTCAACTATACCCAGTGAGCTGCAGTTTAGCTAGAAATATAATGTGTACCATCTTGAACCATTGTAAGAGCTGGGTGACTGATTTGGGGTGACAATCTGACCTTGGTATAGTCACTACTCTCTGAATTGGATGCAGAACTCCGTACTCACTTATGGGCCACAGTATTTCTGTATCAGGAGATGAATGTTTACTCTCTGGTGGGTGGAAACCTGGGGGTATTGAAGTCTTTGGCATTATTCATTTAACCATTCTGAAATTATAGCTTCATTCCTCTATCTTTTTCAATACAAAATTTCTATGACTGGAGTTTTGAAACACAAAGTCCTCCAACCCCTATACTCCCTTGGTTATGCTAATGTTTTTCTATGCATTGCTTGGATGGGAAGATTGATGATGGTTAAAACTTCTCCAGAAAATGTTTAGAATTGCTTGGTCCAGTAAAAGTAACATTTCATGTAGGGTGTCTCAAACCAAAAGATCATGTGAGGAACAGTCAAACCAAAGCCATTCCCTACACAAAAATTTTACTGAATTCTGCTTTTCCTCCCAAAGAACCAATTTCCTAAAATCTTCCTTCCTTCCTTCCTTCCTTCCTTCCTTCCTTCCTTCCTTCCTCCCTCCCTCCCTCCCTCCCTCCCTCCCTCCCTCCCTCTCTCTCTCTCTCTCTCTCTTTCTTTCTTTCTTTCTTTCTTTCTTTCTTTCTTTCTTTCTTTCT